TGATTCACCGGGGAAGAAAGTTTCATGGCGGAATACAAGGGAATATGCCAAAAGAGCAACGACAACCACGGAAGTTAGATGATCTGTTCAAGATGATATGTATCTGTAACGCATCGGGCAGGCATATCGACAATTTTAGGCCACGGCGGTTGCTGCTCAACTGTTTGAGTTTCACGAGAAATTGCTGACTCCACCGTATCGCATTTTGAGCAACGTTTTAAATCAACGCAACTGAAAATCGCAAGGGTAAATGAGTAGTAGCATCAGCAGCAGGATAAGAATTAACCGAGATGTAAAAGCCGGTCGACAAACCTGTAATCCCGATGGTTTTTGATTTTCTCCACAAATTTTGTTGTAAAACTTGGCGATTTCTCCATAGTTGACGACTGAAATACACGGAAGAACTGGCTAATTTCACACAGTTCGAATATTTTTCTTAACGGAAATCAAGGGATCTGTTCAAGATGAACGGAAATCAGATGATCTGTTTGAGAAAAAAGAAATGCAAATGCCCATTATACTACAGCATGAACGAGAAAAATTGCTAAGTGTGCGAAAATACGTTAAGGACGTCCTGTAGAAATTATTAAGGATGCAAAGAAATCCTACAGGATGTCCTGATCCAGAAATATCTTGGCTTTTGACATTTTTCTAAACTGCTTCTAATAAACAGTCAGTGGATTTTTTTGGGAAAACGAAAAAAACGAAGCTCAACGATGAGCAGTACCGTTTGCTTATCAGTGAGGAACTGCGGCGCTGGATCATCAGGCTGTGATTCCAAATCGTCCGGAATATACACCGCCATAGGTGGGAAAGTTGTCACATTGCGTACCACTTTTAAAGCCTGCAAAAGTTTTTTACTGAATTAAATTTGTGAGTAAAAAACAAACCGGTTTGGTTATTTTGAATGCAACATCGAAACGCGCTTGAAAAAAAGATCTGGTATAAAAAGAAATAAACTTTTTCAGGTTCAGATAAAACATCTGGTGCTTTTTCTTGTATCCTGTATCTCGACGGTTCACAATGCAAAAGATTCACAGCCAAAATGCAATCTTTTTTATATCGTGCCTGAAATGTGGCCAGAATGAGAAAGAGAATAACTCTAATTCAACAGCAGCGAAAGAACTGTTTTTGCAATGATGTCTGATTTTTATGCAATTTGTAAACATACACCGTCACAACCCTGTACGTGTGTGTGTGTGTGTACGTGTGCGTGTGTGTGTGCCTATGTGTCTGAGTGCGTACTCCCCCGGCCTTTCTATTAAAATATATAACTGCATGTTCTACTAAGCTATGATCTGCAGCTACAGCTGTATATAAAAACTTACACAGTCATCTTCAAGTATGGATATCCTGCGGTT